CACACCTTTAGCAGCGATTTGATGCAATTTTTTTTATGAATATAATGATGATTTTTCATAGTACTACATCCAAATATAATTTTTTGTTTCACCATTTCGCATTACATGGTGTTAAATGACTTAACTTTTGTAATTCATGTTGAACATAAATGAATTCTTCTTTTTACGAACTCACATAATTGTTTTTATTCACATTGTTAGTATTTTGTTTTGTGCCGACTGTAAATCACTGCCATCTGTAATGCCCATCATCACTGTCTGTTGTGGACTTTTTCGCTGTCAGTTTGTGGCTATTCACCCTATTTTTTCGAATTAAATACGCCTTTTTTTGTTTATTTAACATAAAACAAAAACAAAAAATATTTTTTCATAAAGTATCCTGCGGTTTGATGACTATAGTAAATCAGCTAAATAAGCGCAATTAATTTTTACGCTCAAAAAATTAAAATATGAATTTTCATTAAAAAACTTAAAGCTCGCCTTTGAGGCTGTAATGTGTTTAAAATAAATTGAATTTATTTTTATTTTATAAACTGTTTAATGGTTTCGATGCATTGCCATTCGAGTGTTCAGAATGATTTTTGTATAGATGCACTCAAATATGTTTGAAATAAAACCTGAAGCAGTTATCAGAATACATTTTGAAATTTGGAACTTTTAAAGGGCCTATTCCTTAAAGAGTCTTCAATGCGGGTTACTGTCATTGTGCGACTTTTTCTGTATATGCAATTTATATGAAACGTGAACAAGAGTCATTTTTTCCACTTAAATTAAAAGTGATGATTTTGGCTTTGAAAACGAAGAACGTCCTGGGCGGCCTAATATGTTTGAAGATGGGGAACTGGAACCATTATTCCATGAATATTGTTGCCAAAACATCAGAAAAGCTCGCAGAATCTTTAATTCAGTCACTTAAGCAGCCATTTTAAAACATTTAAAAAAGCAGCCGAACACATTTAAAAACAGGGAAATTGGCTGATGTTGAAATTCGATTTTGCATGTCAGAAACGCTACTTGAACGGAACAAAAAGAATTTGTTTTGGCATCGAATTGTGGCTGATGATGGAAAATGGGTGAATTACAACAATCCCAAATGCAAAAAATCATATGATGGAATTCCATCCCTCTTTTCGGCTTTATCTTGTAGCAAAAGATAATCGATACCTGATTGAATAATATTTATCAAAACCACAGCCTCTGATAATATATCTCTTATACTCTTACAACATGTTGCTGCCGAGTAGGATAGCTTTGTTGTCCTAACGGTTATTTGTATCACCTAAAAATAATAGAGTTAGTTACAGAGTTATATATACATAAATGATCAGAATGATAAGACGAGTTGAAACTCCGGAAAGTGTCTGTATTTCCGTCCGGCCGAGCAAGCTGTAACTTGAGTAAAAATTGAGATATCTTAAGGAAAGTTTCTACACATATCCTTGACAAAAAAGTAAAGATGAGATGAGAACGCCATTAATCGAAAACATATAAAATTCAATAACTAAGCACAAAATTAAGATATAAAACTTTAATTTGGTGCAATGGATTGCAGTACTAATGGGCATTTGTGGTCAAAAAATTTGTTAAAAGTGGGCATGGCCCTCTAATGTACCTATCTCTTAAACCATTCAAGCTATATCAGCCAAATTGCGCTTGGGGCAAATCCCTTAAGAACTCCTACCAACGCCCTTACCCCATGTAACGGTTTTGTTAAAAACTACTGAAAGCGCCATAAGTCAGTAACTAAATTTAATTAAAATTAAATTTTACATCCGAGATTTTTGGAAAGTCCATATCTCAAGATTTGCTTGACCAATTTCAACTTTACAGTGTGAAAATAGGGGAAATCATACAAAAACTATGCCTACTTTCTATATTACACAATTTCAAATTCCATCTGATTCTTTCACTTTCCAGTATACAAATCAAGGACCTATCAATGTATCCAGATAACCAAATATGAGCGCCCCTTTGCGTATAGCAGAATTTTTGCCAAAAATATAAGTCAATCTGTGTTTGTATTGAAATTTATGGAAAATATTTCTTCAATAATAACATACCCTTGTATCAAAAGTCAGTTGAATCGCGTCATCTGCTTCTCATAGCCACCATATATCTTATATAAAGATTTTCGAACTTCCAGTTCAACTTATACCAGATATCTTTCTCAATATGCTAGTTATTTGAATGAAATTGAGAGAGCATGTTTTTTTAATAACAGTGTATCTTAATGAATAAAATTGGGTGAAAATTTGCATTCGCCCCTCATATAACTGATATTCGCGATTTCGAAACGACCAGCTGACTTTACTGCATACATATGTTTAGAAAATTGCTTTAAAAAAAAGTTCTCAAGTACACCTAAGCAATGCCAAAAATTAATATATTCTAATTTTAGGTTGATGTTAGTATAATGAAGCAAAATATTGTAATAAAACTAAGGGAGGCTGAGACCTTCAAAATAAGTTATTATGATACCAAATTTGTTTGTAATCCATTCACGATTTCGTGGAGTTGTGAATTTTGAACCCTTATGCTACACTTCTTAATATAAAGTTTTACCAAACTCTGAAGATATTTCCCCGTCTTTGACCTTTGTAAGTTGCAAGAGTATGAAATCTTCTGTTACACCCGAACTTGGCCCATCCTTACTTGTTTTATTTAATATTTATTTTTTTGTAGATTCTCTTTTTTTTGTATATTTTTGCATTTTAAAAACATGAGTCCAACATGTAATATTAGTTTAACAAAGAAAACTAACTTGTTGACCAAGTAAATATTCCTTGCCACAAATAAGTTCATAAGCCAATTGAATTGGAGAAATTGAAAAAAAGAAACATTTTAAAATTGCTGAGCAATCAAGTAATTTTATTTCTCTCTTGCAAATGGGTTAGCAAATAAATAATTACACACAACCTAGAACTTGGAATGTTATGAAAAATGTTATAACAATTAATAAAAACCAAAAAGGTCAACATAGAAATATATAAAATGAAAATATATAAAATGAAAATATATCTAGATTTTTTAATAAATAAAAATATCTCTACTCAACTCACTAGAGAGAAATTGTTGTATAAATATAGTAAATGGAAGTTACGGCAAAATTACACTCGTTCTTCTCTGACTGCACTTCAATATTGTTTGTTTTTGTTGTATATTCATATGTGTCTCACCACAATGGTTGTAACGGCATTGGACTGGATTGGCAATAAGCCACTCGTATCTTGTTTCAATATATTGAATCAGGCAAACAAGCAAATAAATTAATTCAATCCTTTAATGCGAACAGAAATACACAGATGTGTATACATTTGTGTGTGTGTGTGTGAAAATGTCATGGTCAGCAAAATAGCAGGGACTAAATTGCAGTAAATATGAAGCTTATTTTCTTCTTCCCCGAGTTGTTAGGAAGCTAATTTTGTGGACTAATTGGAAATAAAGTTGCTAGTATTGTCTGCTTAGTATTTATCTATGTATTTACAAGAACATATAAAGAGATAGATGACATGACGTAACCACATGGTGTAGACGACTTTTTTTGTATTATGGATTAAACTGTCTATAATTTGCACTTCTCCTTAAGCTCGAGTAAAGGTGACTAAATCTAATGTTACAGAGATAGCTTAAATATAATAGCTTAATCCAATTTTACATTCACTTGCTATATATGAGCTTTGGCTGGGAAGGCCTTCAGTGCCTGCAGAAAATGATTTTTAATGATTTTATGGCACGACTCCGAAGCGGTTTTTTTCCGTTTCTAAAACAAAAAACTATCTATCATTTCATTTACTTTGGCTGAGCTTTGAAATATCGTTTCGGGTTTGACGAAAAAGTCAATCACAATCATGTTAGACTGTAGCAATGCATTATTGTGGTGAAAACAGCATTAAATTTCTGCCCACAAAACAGGACATTTACGATAATTACCACAAAAAGACCAAGTAGTATTCCTTATTGACTACCGTTGATTATAGAGCAGAGGCATCGTCAACTACGCCACAGTAAGAAAATGATGAATTTACAACGTAACCTCGATTTCTAACCGACTTTGAGGTTTTTTTGGTTTGGGTTCATTTCAGTGGCGCCACTTGGTAGATTTTTGGAAAGTTTCGGCGTCATATTCCTAAACCCCCATGTCGTCACCTGTAATGAGGTTCGATCAATGAGGACCCTCTCTAGCTCCTTTGTTAAACATCTCTTTTGCAACCTTTACTCGACGTCAGTTTGCAAAAATTCTGGTCTTTTGATACGGGCCAAACATTGTTTCGCTTCATACCCATAACATTCACCAAAATGTTTGGAGTCATCTGCCATCTCTCTGATGCCAACACGACTATTTTAAAGAACTGTTTCTTTAACTTTTTCGATGTTATAATGCATTGACAGAGGTGGATGGACGACTCACATGAAACAAGTTTTCGATCACTTCGCTTCCTTCATGAAATGCTTTATGCCACTCAAATACTTGTATTCATGATAATGTATACTTCCCAAAACACTTCTGCAACATTTTCAACGATTCCGTAGCCGAGATTCCATTGAAACACAAAATTTCAAGCAAGCTCATTGTTAAATTTTTTTTTGTTTTGTAGTAAAAATCACCCGACAAATTTTTCGTTCTTTTACCAAGTTTGCGAAAGAGATTGATGGATTAATTACGTTTGCTACTCTGTTATAGATCAATCAATCAAAATATATAGATTCAAAGATGAAACTCATATTTTCTATTTGTTGAGCTTGCAACACCTTTTTCTTATATCTTGACATATGAACCCAAATTTTTACCACACTCCTAGCAATTATTTGGTTTCGTGGTATTTCTTGTATTTCCTTTTTCGCGTAAGCAGATTGGCAGTATACAAAAAAGTCTAGCTTTAAATAGAATCCATTTCAGCCTAAGAAAACGAAGATTCATACTCACTCGATAAACTCTCAAAAGTTAGCCTTTGCAATAGCTTTAAGACAACTTTAATCAAAAGAACATTAACCCTCAATTCGGTCGTTTAATACTTCATTGCTGAAATTGACTATTTTACACAGAAAATATATTTGATTAAAAGACTAAATAAGTGTAGCTGCTTTTTTTAAATAAAAAATAATAATTAAGGAAAAAGGCAAATAAAATGAAATAAAAAAATCCGTATGTACATAACTCTAACTATACTTCGCTTTAAGCAAGCTAGACGTTGGCATTGCAGGGATCTGTTTCCCACTTGCCGTGTTGCTGCATAAATTCAATTGTTCGGACGTCTGCGTGACGCATGTCTGTTGCAGACTCTGTTCGCATTGATCCGACTCTACGGAGGTTAACGGTGTTTGCACATTGACCGACTGTTTGCGTTGCGTTGCCCAGTTGCCTTGCTGTTGTGAAGGCGTCTGCGGATTTTGCAGCTGCTGTTGCTGTTTTTGACGTTGACGTTGACGTTGCTGCTCCCTAGCCAGCAATTTCGGTTTCCTTATGTATTCCTTGTAATAGAAATCGAGGAATAGAGCAAACATGAAAAGATTCTGTATAAGGCCGACAAAGGTTATAATCAACGGATGTTGGCAATGGTTGCGTACGATGGCCATTAGAAAGTGTATAAATAAATAGCCGAATTGCAGCAGTTGCAGCTGGGTTATGTGACGTTTCCACCAGAGGGCGCGTTCAACGGTCCACACGGACGTCACAAAATAATAGCCATACATAACGGTGTGTATGAGAGCATTGATGATGCCTATCATGGTGCTGTGACTGCCTGTGGGTGGTAGGGAAAGTGAAATAAACTTAACATTATTTATATTCTTTATTATAAATATTATATTTACAGCTCTTATTAATTCCTTGGCAAGCGCAATTTGCAACTTGAACATACAACAGGGTTGTATATGAATATGGGCTGCTACCCAAGGAAACTTACCTGTCAAGAAGGTCGTAAACGCGTAAACACCGAAAACCATGCCGGCATGATGGTAAACATGCAAGAAGGTGATTTGATTGTTTTTCTTGCGCAGCACAAAGAAAATCTACAAGTAAACAAGTTGAGAGGTGTTGTTGAAAAAACAGTAAAAAAAGAAGAGAACAAGCAAAAAGTTAACTTCGGCTAAACTGGAGCAATAATACCCTTCTCAAGCGCATTTCTTATGGCATAAAGGTAATAAAATAATCTTTAACTTGATTTTTATCGGTCAGCTGGTATGGCAGCTATATGCTACAGTGGTCCGATTTCAGCGGTTTCGACAAATGAGCAGTTTTTTTTTTTGGAAAACAGGAACATGTGCAAAACTTCAAACTGATATTTCAAAAACTGAGAGACTATTTCGCATATATGTATGTATGTAAACGGATAGATGGACATAGCTAAATCGACTCCGCTCATCTCGATAATAATTTATATATACATATGCTTTATAGGCTCTCCGACGCTTCCTACTGGGTGTTACAAACTTTGTGGGAAATTTATCTTAATAACGGAATAAAAAGAAGAAGAAACAATGTGAAAAAGTGCAAACGAAATCAAATCTAAAGAATGCATGCAATAAATTTATTCAGGGAAATTCCGTTTTTCCACTACACACACATAAAAAAATAGATGTATGGCAATATGTAATATATATACTTAAATGTATTGTACTTGTATATACATACACTACCACTATATCAATATATATATATATACAATATCAGTTTTGTTGGTGTTAGTGTCTTGTCTAAAGCGAGTTGGCAGCTGCTTGCCAGACTAAGCCAAATGATAAACGTTTATAGCTTGGTCTTTAGCTCTGAATACATAGCTACGCACACAAACACCTACAGCATCTCTAAACCTAACCACACTTTTTATTCTAATACACACACAAGCAATTTGATGCTGTCTGCGATAATGTCGATGGAAAATTGAATTTTGTTTGTTGATAGAAATCGAATTGATACTCGACATGTTTACAGCTGCTGCAGCATTATACGCTTGGTATTCTCACCTTGAGATTTTTTTCTGCATTCATAAACTTAAACATAAATTGCCATTACATTTATATATGTTTATATGCATGTGTTTAAGCGTGTTTATAGTTTAGTGTATCCAAGAAAGTTGTGCTTTAACCTTTATGGACTAATAGTTTAAATGCAGTTAACTTTCTAGCGTTAAAGTAAAACAAATTGGTAGAGAAATTTGTTTAATGATTATAACTCGAATAATATTTCTTTCTTTTCGAGCTGAGTTAAGTATTATAGAATTTATTGATTGGTAGAGCTTCATACTGTTGGTAACCGATTGAGTATGCAGTACTAACTGAATGGAAGACACACTCGGTGAATCAACCTGACAAACTTCTGCAATGCCGCTGTCTGTCAAGCGAACACATTTTTTCATAATCACGACCTCGCTTTTTAAATATCATATTCATTGTCTTGAGTATTAGATTCCTTAAAGTGAAAGTTGATTATTTCTAAAAAAAAAATAAAAATTTTAAATACCGTCACCCAAGGGTGCTTAATTTTTATTGGATTATTGATGGTATCAAAATTAAGTCTTCAATCTCTTGTTGATTTTCGATAATTTCCAGATGCAAGAAAAATCTAGTTAGATTATATTTATAAGCGCAAAATAATATAATATTTATTGATTTTATTGCTAGAGGGGTTTTAAAATGTCTCATGAGTCGTAGTGATATATGGCTTATTCAGAATTAAGTGTACTAGTAGATGATATTGTGTTATATTACAACATTACAGTAAGTCCTTACAATGATGGGAAATTCTAGGATGTGAATTAACACAGATAAATGCTTAGGCATATGCGTATCATTTGTACATTAGAGAGTACGTAAATTGTCTTTCTTCAATTATTCACTACTAAAACCAGTTCAATAGCTGATATGTCGCGGTGCACCATTCCGAATTGGGAAGACTCAAAAGGCACTGGAAAAAAAACTGTTAGACCGGACCCACAAAAATATATAGATTAGGTATAAAGTAGGTGTGGTCCCACCCTTTAAATAATGTAAGGTACGTATCTACCAAGCCACTAAAACTAAATCAATCCAACTTGCAAAGATGTTCTTTTAGCACCTCTTCATACACTCTTATATCTAATGGACCACTACACCAGTTTCAACCAAATTTGTTGGGTGAAAAGCCCAAACATTCCTATCATACTCAGTGAAAATGCACGAACCATGCTTACAATACTCACAAAAAAATTTTAAATTCCATCTGATTATTTCACTTTACTGAAACTTTGCACAAATATAGCGCTCATGGTATTCCATCTCCCGTCAAAAAATTGTCCAATGCGTATAGCTGATCTTTTACCGAACATATCGGTCAATCTGTGAGCTCCTTAGTCCTATAGTTACACCTAATATTAATGTTTTCGAACATTTGCTTTTATACTTTATAAAAAGAGCAAGCTGAGAGGTATCTTAATGTAATCACTTGCTATTAACAGTGTGAACAGGATGAAGTCAGGGAATTAATTTCTCTAATCCCTATATTTCTAACATACGGATTCAGAGATCTTCTAGCCCCCCTAAAATTATAATAAAAATTCAAACTTCCTGTTGGCTTTATACCGCACATATTGGTCAACATGTAAGATATATATTATTTGTTGGTCAAAAAATCGAATATTATTTTTATATTGGTACCCTGAAAAATATGTTCTTAGGCATCTCTAAGAAAGTTTCTCGCCGTATAAGCTCTTAATTGTAACGGAAAGGTTCTCCTTATAGTTTTCTATGTTTTTTCTTATTATCAGATGCCCAGAAAAGTTCATATCTCGCCAAAAACCTATTTGAAAAAAAAAATCGTTTGATAAATTTTGTAGTAAATTGATCGCTCTACAAAACAAAATCTTACGATATTTCGTTAATATTACCGTTTAAAAGATATCAACAGTGGGCTTGGTGCTTGAAAATTACGAAAGTATAAAATTTTTGGTTTCACCTGAACTTATCCCCGCCTCACGTGTTTTTAATCATTACAACATTCAAATATTCGTAAATTCAGAAAATATTCAAATCACTTTCCCTATTATAACATTAAATTGTATTTAAATTTAAATACTTAATCATTATTAAAACACATATTTTACCAATAATGTATGCACAGTTTTAAACACTCACAGACCATTACCACACCCGCTCTTGTGAAGCGCACTCCCTGACTAATACACACACACACACACACACACACATTCTCAGTTGCATTAACCTTTCAGTGGTTGGCTTACCGTATCAAGTAAATCTAAATACTTGGTGATGTAATAGAGATAGGTAAGATAAATTAATGTACACATCCAGGGCTCTGTGTTGGTGTGGTCAATCGGTTGACATGTTAAGCTGAACTCCTTGCGCATATACGAGTTTGGTATGCCCTGATTGGAAAATGTCGCAAAAGAAAGCAAAAAGAACAAGAAAGAAACAGTAAATCAATAATAGAAAAAAGTGACTGAAAAACGTGGTGCCATTAACAAAATTAAAAATTCCACATTAGAAAAGCCACACGTACTTACAAAATACACACACACACAAGCATGTGTGGCTATATAGTATACTCACAACAACAAATATAACCAAGTTGGCAAGCACTTGTATCGCATTATATACGCGCATGATATATTTCAAATTGAATGGTTTTCGATTTTCCATCCATTTGGGACCATAATACAAAACAAAGGACAAATAGGATACAATACAAACGGCTACGGGTAGCGGGGAGCCCACTAGCGGTAAATGTTGCACGCGTGGATCTGCAAGGAAAATAATCACCGAATAGAGTTTTGATAATTTCTAACTGAAATTGCCTTACATACCTCTGTGTTGCTCGAATATATCACGCAATAGCCGATATATATATTTGGTTATATAAGCCATGTTTATTTAAAAAAAAAAATTTAATTTTCTAAACACGAGAGTTTATTCACTTCTATTTTCCCAAGGTTATATTTCTTTAATTATAAATTATTAGATTATAACCACTGCTGCTTCTCTACTTTACACTGTCGTCCTGTACTGTTATAATTTTTATATTTGGGTTCACGCTTGCGTTGATCATAGGATCAATTTCGTGTGCATAAAGGAAACTTTTAAAACGCCTGCGTATATTTATCTGTTCACACAACACTAATACACGCACACACACACACACGCAAATGACAAAGTACGGCTGCTCAGTTGGTACACGAAGTGAATAGTATGCCGTTATGGTGCGCGCTTCTCAAGGTGTTCGCTGTCGCGTCTACAATTGAAATGAGCTTTGACTGTGCGCCATGTAAACTTGGAATTGAATTTTTTTACAAGCGTGCACAATTCATCGGCCCCTATGCTTAGTTTTGTATAATTAATTTATCATTAAGTGGTTCGTACGTTGACCAGTGCTCCGATTTGTTGTAAATGAATTGGTAATTTTGCATATTCACGCACAGCGCTGGGCATGAATTGGAAAAAGACGCGAGAGGTTAATCTTGAACCTAAAAAAATAACCTGATTTTGATAATTTATTGTTTTATTTTGTTTCGGAAAGTTTCAATCAATCTTAAATAAAAAAGAAATTTCCTCCTCCGTTAAGGCAAGCCAGATTGTTCTATGGCATAAAAGCTGGAAGTTGAGATATTTAAGGTTCGATTCAACCCCAAAATCATTCACACTTCAAATAACCGCTTTCGGCAAGACATTGTTGATGCTGTTCCCTGAAAATCGGTCTTTTGGAATTTTTCCCCCTTAAATACAGTTCAGTCAATCTCTCTAACGTCTTCACTAAGAGAGATGAAGGACTGATAATAGCATTAAAAACTTACTTACTAAGCTAAAATCATGGATGTTCAATTCCAAAGCGGGCCAGTACTTTTGAAATAGCAATTTTTTTTCGAAGATCCGACTTTGATTCCTCATAGCATCTTTCTTGGAAGTTTGACCAAAAAAATATTTTATTGTCCATATTTTTAGCTCTTTAGTAAATACTTACTATAATTAGTAATAATTAATTTTCAATATTCTAATTTCAAAATTCGAAGACCTATAATTTGATTGTTTTTCGTTAGCTTCGAAAAAAGAAACATTTTCTTGTTTACTTCTTCTCCCAAAAAATAAAAACTGGTTTGGTCTAATACCCAGAAATAAGTAATCTTTTCCGTCTTGTGTAATGAGTGAATGCTACCAATAATATGATTGGCACTGTCTATAAATGCTGTATGGGAATATGTAATATATTATGCGTAGTATGAAACTACGTAAGTAGACGAAAGGTCATGTCGTCAATGGCAAACAAAATTCTCTTACAAATAAAGAGTAAATTGAGTTGAGTTGTTTGTTGATAAACTCAAAACAAGTGTCTCAGTAATATTTTGCATTATTTCTGCAAACACTTAAAATACAAACGTGTACATATCGAATAAATTAAAGATTTGAATAGTATTTCAAATTCAATGTAGAACATGCTATTGCTGCATAATCTTATCTTCTAGGAACTGGCATATAAAATACATACATATGTGCGCACATAGCGCCAATCACTATTTTTTATCTGACAAAGTTATAGAACTCTTGAAATTCATTCTTTGACTCTAAACGATAAAAAAGTATATTCTGAATTTTTTCTTAAAGTACCAAACTAATAACCACTTCGCAATGAATATAAACTATGACGGTCACGAAATTTTTCCACGAGCATTAGCATTTTTATTTTTCTTATACCTTAAACTCTTCACTTTTGTTTACTCTTCCGCTGACGTATAGAATGTAAACTTTCGACTGACCTATGCAAATACCAATGCATTCTATGCTAGTGAGGTTTTCATTCAGCTTGGGATGGCCTCGCTCTCCTTTTTATTCAACTCTCTCTATTAGCAACAGTGGCGGAGGAAATTATTTCTTTAACTCTTTCAAAAATGCGTTCTTTTGACATATTTATACCCTGAACAGTGTATATTAAATTTGCAACTAAGTTTGTAACACCCAGAAGGAAACTTCGTAAACTCTATAAAATACACACAATATATTAATTGTCCATTTAGACATGTTCGTCTAGCTGAATATACACGAAGTTTTCTCTCAGTTTTTGAGATATCGATCTGAAATTTTGTACACGTCTTTTTCTCTCTAAAAAGGTGGTAATTTTTCGGAATTACCGATATCGGACGACTATGTCATATAGCTGCCATACAAACTGCGCTATCAGAATCAAGTTCTTCTATGAAAAATTGTTTTATTTGACAAAATATCTTCATGAAATTTGACATAGACGCTACAATCTCCGAATAGATCGGTCTACCATAGCAATTAGCTTCCAAAAAAACTGACTACCAATATCAAAATGAGAAACTTCATAAAAGACCTTTTTTCTTAATAAAGTAACATTAATAATCAAAAGATTTAATATGAAGTAACCTTCATATCAAACAAAGTGGCAATAAAGGATAAACAAAATATTTTTCGTTGCATGCAAACCGATAGCCAGTTACGGTTTTAGATAATTGCTCTAGAAAGCTGTGAAAAGTATTCTAATTTCGCTACAGCCGAAGTTAACGTTTTTCTGCGTTAATATATAAGCAAATACAACTATTTGATTTTACAGATTATTTTAATAAAAACTCTTAACTAGTCACCCAGTCCCTTAAAAGGCAAATGAAAATAGAGACATATGTAGAGTTATTTGGTGGGAATCACTAAATATACCCCTTACAAGAGGGTTTTATTCTCAATCTGAGAAAGTTTTGAAGAACTTGATCTGATATAAGAAACTCAAAAACCGACAGTTCCATTTTTGAGAGTAGTGTCGATATACATAGGCCATATTTCAATAGGCAAAGAGCATCACTTGCAACGAATTCAATCTAGTTATATATCTAATATATATATTTTTGTCTTGATCATGTATGTGAGGATGGCCTTAACTAAGCTTAGAGCGTTCTTAATTCTTGGTATACTTAATGACCTGTGGTTTCTTTCCATAAGTTTTTTCAATGCAATGAATATGTATTCCTTATATCCGCACTTGATTGCGCTCGAAACTTTCATTTTCAAATTAAGAGCTTGTAAAACATACATACATATATACATACATACATGCACATATGCACGCAAACGTTTATGAGAAGCAAGCATAAGAAACATTGCCCTCCATACGAAATTCTAATTATGCCAAGAATAAAATGCAAATTAGTTTGGTGATTTTTAATTCTGTGACGATAAACAGTTCATTAGTCGAAATGGAATATTTACATTTAGTGCACTGGAATGAACGGCATAAAAACGACAAAAACTGTACAATAAAAAGTAGATAACAACATTGAGTTCGAAAAGCGAAAAATACATATTTTATGCTTATGTACACATACTTGTATATATATCTTCATACATGTGTGTGTAAGCTTAAAACAATTTGAAAACAAAAAGTTGGTAATTGTGAAAAGGCATCAAAAAACAAATAAATAAACGACAGCTTCGGTCGGGCTATAAATAATTGAAATAATTTGCATAAGCAGACGCATAAAAAATACATAGCTGAAATTTGTTTTATAAATTTTGTTCCTAACTTTATGTTTTGTTGTTTTGTACTGTGTAATGTACAGGGTGGTCAGATTAAGGCTTCAATGCTAAAAAATCAATATTTTTTAGTATAATTCATTAAACACGTGGATAACTTATGTGTACTATAAATATTTGTACTCTCCCAAGTTGATAAGCAGTTTATTGTAAAAGCGAAATTTAATCGGTATAGATATATTATACAATATGTATCTGGTATATAGAACTGCTCAGAAAAGTGAAAATTGATTTCCGGATATCTGTTCGTGCAAGCAATAAACTGCTAAAAACGGAGATATATTAATAGAACATTTTGCACAAGTTTTTTTCGCAGTTTGAAAAGCCTTTTTTAAACAGTGTGAAAAGCACTGAAATAATGCAAAAACTATGCCAAGTTCTCATATATTTGATTTTTAACACAAATATCGAAATAAAACTTTAAATAAACAATGATCTTAAGATGTGACAACTCTGATCGAAAACTGGTCGACATCCATCAGTGGCTTCCCCTATCCGTCGTATACCTAAAATGAAGACCTCCTAGTACCGTATATTTCAGCACATAACGTGAGATATCTCCAAAATATTTTGTGAATTTGTGTCATTTGCCATAATGTTATGTGGAGCCAAAAAAATATCCAGCCGGTCTGCCTCATACGAGTATACTGAATATATTGATTTTCGGGTTCTCTCTGGTTGAATTTATAGTGTATATATTAATAGATAAGTGACGTAAAAGTATAATGTTACAATAAGGAAAAACTTCAGGTACACTAAAGTTATAATACCCTTCACAAATAAAAGAGTTTCCATACATGAACATGATATTTATCGGGCAATTTGTATGACAGCTAAATGTCATAGTATTCCGATTTGAAGAATTGCTTGAGATGGTCGTACTATTTCCTTGGACAATAATCCATACTAAATTTCGTGAAGATATCTTGTCAAATATGATAGTTTTCCATGTACGAACTTGATTTTGATCGATCAATCTATATAGAACCTACATATATTATACCGTTGCCTTGGACAATATTCCATTCCAAATTTTTTGAAGACTTCTCGATTTATCGTCATAAATGGTTGAGACCATTACTCATTTTCTTTTGGACCGCATATAATAAATACATTAATTTTTGACCATCTGGTTGACTTTATGGTGTACATCTCGGTGGAAATTATCAGTCTTATTGACTAGTCCTCTTTTTGTTTGGTTAAAAGCGGCGTTGCCAGAATTTAACATTAGTCAAGTATATTAAGAAATTATTATTACTTTTTCTAAATTGTAATAAGTTTTCTCTGCACTGTATATCTTCTGGAAGCAGAGTTGAGCGTAGCATTTTCATAGATTATTTTAATTAAGCACTAAAAATATTGGTATTATGACCCGAATACCGTCTTTTTTGGCCAGTCTAAGTTGATTTTTATTGCATAACTATAAAATTCTACATTTTTAAAGATGATCTAGACTAGAGAAATAATGTAAAATTCAGAAATTCTTTTTTTCTACAACAGCAAGAAAGCTAACCAATTTTACTTCATAGTTGCAACATTAGCTCTATTAAATTGTGCATAAATCAGGAATGTTTATGTTAGACAATTCTGAAAACTAACACTAAAGATGAGTAAAAGTGCTTCTTAAATGCTTGAGCTTCATTTAAACGCACTCGAGCCACTAGAAACACCTAACGCAGCGTGGCAATGCTTCTTTGCAGCTTATTCTTCTTCTTGCATTTCTGCTGCTACTGCTTCAGTTGCCGCAAG